GATGGGCTGGGGACAGAGTAGGACCAGGGATACTAGTTGTCCAGGTACTGGAGTAAGTGACAATGCAGTTGGTCCTGGGAGAGTGATGAGGGCTTGCACTGGGTAGAGACAGTGGGAAGGGGAAAAAATAGCAAAGTGGGAGAGACTCAAGAGTCTGCGTGGATAGAAGCTGGAGACGGAACAAATGTGGGGGTGGGCGGCGACAGGGGATGCCTCCACGTCTCCAGCTCACACCAGCCCGAAGCCTCCCTGAAGAACCAGACATGGGCAGTGAGTGCAGAGACAGAACCACTGCCCCACCGTGTCCCCTTGTCTTGGGGACAAGACCACCTGTGCTGTCACCCTGGTATCCTTTCACATGCCCTCTTTCTTTCTTCCAACCCCAGGATCTCTGGGCGTACGCTCACCACAGCCACGCTCTTCAGTGCTCTGTTACAGGAACCACGCATCCCTGAAGACTGGGAATAATTCCAGATTTCCATAAACTCAGGGTGACCGTTCCAAAGCATGACAGTAACTATGCTCTGTGACTGGACTGGCTCCTCCAGGTGCCAGCAGCATAAACCTACCTTTCAGCTCACTCAGTCTGTAGCTCAGAAATACAACCTGATTCCAGACAGGCTTTTAAATGTAATAGGTTGAATTACTATGTACTGTACATAAATGAAGACTTTACGCTTCCGTACTGCTATTTAGAATGCATACAAGGCAAATTCATGCAGACTACAGTTCTTTGGGTTTCTGCTTTCCTGAAGCCTCTACCATCTGCAGGCAGCCTCTGATACCTAACAGAGCCAGATGCTTGTACTCATATTCACCCAAGGTCTTGGCCTCCCACCCCAAGCCCTAGCCTGGCCCCTCTCAACTTAGTAAAGACCTGTGAGGAGACCTTGAAGAGCTCATGGGCAGGAACAGGCGCAGAAGGCTATTTGGAGATGGTAGAAATAGAACAGAGCTTTGATGGATGGGCTAGGCCAGGGAAGACCTAGTACAAGTCTCTTGGCCTCTCTGGGCTTCACATTCTTCACCTGTTCAACTAAAGGCATGAAGCAAAAGCCTTCTCAGGTCCCTTTCACCTCTACTGCTCTATGTCTTAGGATAGCTTAAATCAGCTCCTTGATTTTACCTATACAGCCCGGGGGTCCCCTGGTCACACAGCCAGCACAGTCTAGAACCTAGACCTCCTGACTTGGTACAGATTCACCAGGAGACCTTGAGGAGCTCGTTGGGCAGGAAGGAACAGGCGCAGAAGACCATTTGGAGAAGGTAGAAATAGAATAGAGTCTTGAAGGATGGGTTAGGCCAGGGGAGACAGAAAGGGGAGAGAGGCTATGTATGGGATTCAGCCCAGAATGCTTCAGGGCCACTGATTAGGCAGCCTCAGGTATGGGCACAGAGGGTTGGAGGAAATTTTTAGGGAAAATTATATTTCTGCTTTCCCTGTGTCTGGGGATGTTTCCTCCAGACATCTGTTTTGGCTTCATTAGAAGGGACAGAGTTGCTGTTTTATATATTTTTGCATTGCCAGAGCTCAGCACAGTGGCATATGGCAGGAATGCAATAAAAGTTCATTGAATGATTGAGTGGGCGAGTGAAAGCATTGCACAGGTTCACGAGATACTTGTCCTGCTTAAGTGCTGATTCGTCTTCCAACATTTTATTATGATAAATTTCAGACCCACTGAAAAATTAGAAGAATTCTGCAGCGATCACAAAATATATTCTCCACCTAATTTCTAAATTTTACAGCTTATTATGTAGGCTTTATCACGTATCTAGCCATCAGTTCAACCGTCTATCCATCCACCCGTTTTATTTTTTTGATGCATTGCAAAATTGCAGACACGAATATGCTTTACACCTACTCATTTTAGCATGCACATCATTAACTAGAGTCCAATATTTGTTTGCATCTCTGTTTTTTCCTTTTTAAAATTAAAAACATTTAATTATGCCAAAACAGACATAACAGCAAACTTACCATCCTAACCATTTTAAGTGTGCTGTTCATTGGCATCAAAAATATTCACATGCTATGCAGACATCACCATCATCCATTTCTACAGCTCTTTTCATCTTGCAAAACTGAAGCTCTGTATTCATTAAACAATTCCCTCGTTCCCCTCTCTTCCTAGCCCCTGGAAACCACCATTTTACTTTTTGTCTCTATGAATTTGACTACTCCACATACTTCATATAAATGAAATAATACACTATTTGTCCTTTTGTGACTGGCTTATTCCACTTTGTATTTGCTCCAGGTTCATTTATGTTATGGCATGTGTCAGAATTTCCTCCCTTTTTAAGGCTGAATAATATTTCATTTGTATGTCTATATTACACTTTGTTTATCCGTTTACACCTGTCATTGGACACTGGGTTGCTTCCACCTTTTGGCTATTGTGAATAATGCTTCTATGAACATGGGTGTACAAGTATCTGTTGAAGTCTCCGCTTTTAATTTTGGGGGTACACACCCAGAAGTGGAATTGCTGGATGATATGATAATTCTATTTCTAATTTTTTTAGGAACTTCCATACTGTTTTCCACAGTCAACGCACATTTGCCATTACCACCAGTAATGCACAAGTTTAAATTTTTATGCATCTTCCCAACATATGTTTTTAATTTGTTTCATAGTAGCCACCCTAATGGATGTGAGGTGGTGTCTCAGTACATTTTTGGGCTACTAGAAAGCAATATCTGAGGCTGCGTTCCATGGTGAGCAGGTCTATGCAAACCTACCCCCAAAGGCCAAGGAAGATGAAAGGCCAAAGGAAGAAGCTAACAAATCCAGTTTCTTAGAAAAAAATATTTAACAGACATTTATGAACAGAAGCCATGTCTTGGGCAGCCATAAGACAAGATGGTGGATCCCCACCCTGTTAGCCCCCAGACTCAGGGCTTATATATCATAATGAATCTGCGTAAGGACAGGGTTTATGGTAAATATGTGAAAGTAGACATCTCAGAGGTATTTTCAGAAGTGAGGTGAATGAGAAGTCAACATGGCAGATTAGCATCCAAGATGGAGTTGCTTTGGCCTCCACAGACTGGGTAATTTACAAAGAGAAGAGGTTTATTGGTTTATGGTTCTGAAGGCTGTAGAAGAAATATGGTGCCAGCATCTGCTTCTGGTGAGAGCTTCAAGCTGCTTCCATTCATGGCAGAAGGCGAAGGGAGCCAGTGTGTACAGAGATCACATGGCCAGAGAGGAGGAAAGAGAGATGAGGGGAGGTGCCAGGCTCTTGTGAACAACGGCTCTCATGGGAACTAATAGAGAGAGAACTCACTCATCCCCTTGCCCAGGGAATTAGTCTATTTATGAGGAATCTGCCCCTCTGACCCAAACACCTCTCATTAAGCCCTCCCACACACTGAGGGTCAAATTTCAACATGAGATTTGGAGGGGTGAAACAAGCCAACCATAGCAGGTAGTATCTCATTGCGGTGTTGATGTGCATTTCTCTAATGATTAGTGATGTTGAGCACCTTCTCATGTGCCTTTTGGCCACTGTGTGCCTTCTTTGGAGAGAAATGTCTACTCAAAGTCCTTTGCCTCTTTTTGCCTTTTGAGGTAAAATTTGCATATAATAAAGTGCACAAATCTTAAGCATGCCATTAGATGAGCTCTGACAAATGCATCCCAAACTCTGTTGACGTACAGAACATTACCATCACCCCAGACAGTTCCTTCAGATTCCTTCTCTCAGTCATCCAGTCCCCCCACCCTCCAGACACAACCGCCATCCTGGTTCTTAAAAGTCTGTCATAGATTCGTTTTGCCTGTGATAGAACTTTAACTATGTGCATTCACATGGTATGTGCTCTTTTGCGCCTGTGTTCTTTCACTCGGCATAAAGGTTTTGAGATTCACCCATGTTCGTTCCTTTTGATCGCTGAGCAGTATTCTTTTACATGAATAGGCCAGAGTTTCTTTATTCTTCTGTTGATGGACTGGACTATTTCCAGTTTGGGGATATAATGAATAAAGCTTTGTAAGAGCTTATGTTTTATTGTAACAAAAGCAAAATGTCATGAGCTTGAAGCCTTGATAAAAATCTCCCACTAAGGCTAATATCCTTTTGGATAGAAAAACAAACAAATCAATAAATTCTACCCTTTGTGGAGGGCTTATAAAGTGCCACGCCGTCTGCTGAGAGTTTTTCTTCCATCAATCATTCCATTTAATCCTCACCCCCCCATTTTCCAGATGAGTAAACAAAGGTTTACAGCAGGAAACTGACTTGCCCAAACACTAATAGCCTGCATGTGGAAGACCCTATTTTGCCTTTTAGGATGTGCTGTGAGTATCAGTAGTGATCCCAAGGCCAAAAAAAGAGGAGTATGGTGTTTTGCTTTCTCAGTTATCACACTTTATTATGATACTGATGTCATTTTTATTTGCCCTCTGTGATGAGCATTAATTATATTATGGGAAAGGGGAGCGCCAAAGATAGCAACTTTAGACATAAAGACCATCCTCTTACTAAGAAATCTTTGGAGACAGCAAGGAACTTTAAAAAATTAATGGTATATTAAAAAAATCTTTTGTATTACAAAGTATTAGAAAATAATAAGAGTACCAAAAAATAAGTGCCTGATCAGCTTGTTGTCCATTTATAAAAGTACATATGACCAAACTGGAAACTTTTGGCAGAAAATCTGTAGAGGAAGGAAGGAAAGATTTATGACTGGAGTTTACCTAGTGTACACGAAGTGCCAGGAAAGCCCCCTGTAGATAACTTGCTTAGTTTAACTCATTCCAGCTTCCCAGCAGTCTCAGTAGCCATTTTTCCTTTCTTTTTTAGCAATGGAACTCCTGGCTTTTAGCTAGACTTGTGGTCTCCCAGAAAAAAAAAATTTCACAGCTTCCTTGATGGCTAGGTTTGGCATGTGACTGAATTTGACCAATTTGACTGAATTTGACCCACGTGACTGAAGGGTCCCAAGAAGGGAGCGACCTCAAAAGGACATGTGCCTTTCTTTGTCCCTTTCACCTTTCAGATGAATGAAAGCAAAAGCAGTGGCTGGAGCTAGGGCAGCTACTTAGAACTACGAGGTGGAAGAAATGTGGTGACATAGCAGAACAAAAATATCGGAATCCTGGGTACCTGATGACCATGGAGCCACCATACAAACTCTGGACTGCAATTTCCAGAGACTGTTTGCGTGAGAGGGAAATATACTTCTGTCAGGCTACGTTACTCTGTGTTTTCTGTCAGTCCTGATAGAGGAGGCATTGTCTTCCCATTTTACAGATGAAGAGACAGAGTCTCAAGTTTCCATAGCTGGTGTGCACTTTAGTTTCTCAAGGATAGTAATGTCCCACCCTTGAGGTTGGTTAATTCACTCAACTCCCAAAGCTGATAATGTTGAAGTGCCAAAAAAAAGTGCTCCCTTCAGGTTTCACTCACTGGAGCGACGTCGTGTGCCCACAGATATGAAAACATGCCACTAAAGGTTAGCCCTGGAGGGACTTTAAGCCAGCTTTCAAAGAACAACAGATCTGGTTTTGTGACTTGGGAAAATTACCATCCAAGCATCAGTTTCTTCTTCTCTAAAATGGGAAGGATGGTAAAAGTCCCTGCAACAGAGTTGCTGGGAGGACCTAGTAAGAGGATGCACTGCCTGGCCCTGACCAAATGACCAATAAGTGGGAGTTTTCATTATTAGTCCCTGGGACTGGGCTGGAATCAGACCCCCCGGTTATCTCTTTCTGTATCTTCCTTTCTTCCACTTTGGAGCTTCCCCCCTCCAGCCTCTGTCCCCAAACAATCCTGAACAAACATCCCTTTTCTCCTTGCAGACTGCTCCCCAGGCTGCCCCAAGCTATGTCCACACAAGTCCCTCCTACGATAGCTGCACCCTAGGCTCAGCTGGAAAATAAAACACGCACTGCATGGTTGCCAAGCCCTAGCCATGGGCCTCAGTTTTCAAGCACCAGGCAGGTTTTGCAAGAAAACTGGTGTTCCTAAAATCAGGACTTGCCTTTCTTACATTTCCACTGCTCATTCTCAAAAAATGTTGGCTCAAACAAATAAACCCAAATCCACGAGGCAGCAAAATTAGTCTTCAAAGGCCTCCTATAAGTTAAATGCCCTCTCAAAAGTACCTGCAGAATCCACACTGAGGTCCCTGTGGGGCTGTCCTCTGTGGGTCTGCTTCAAGCAGTGGAGGCTTCAACACAACATGTCTGTTTGGGTGTGATTGTCCAGCCTCTGTTGTCTGTCAAATGAATCCTTCCTATATGATAATGAATACTGCACAGATTAATGCAGTGGATCCCCACCCATAGACCAGGAGGCTCTTCTGGGGAGACACAGAGGCTTTGCAAGATGATCTTCAAATCCACCGACATGCCTGTTTTCGACGGACCACAATCTCTTCTGCATCTCCCACAGTGTTCTACCATATATTTAAAATGTGTGTGTATATGTGTATATATATATATGTGTATATATATGTGTGTGTGTGTATATATATATAATTGCAAGCGTTAGATAATCAGTAGACACTAACTACACACCTACTATCATGCTAGGTTAACCAACTCCGAGCTTAATGACATTCAACAAGAACTTCCTAGAAATAGTTCCATAGCTAGTGACCCTCAGGGCGGCGCTTCAGACAACCAAAACAAGTCAGGGAATGGACACTTGGAGGCCCGCAGACCATCTGGCCACATTTGAACCATGCTGAGATGGAAGCTGGGCTTGGGGGCAGTCCAGCTGCGCTGAGAAACAGCAACCCGAAGCCTTGGGTTGGGGCTGCATGTGCCCAGAGAGCACAGCATGACCACCTCCTCCACGTCCCTAGTGTGGGAAGGAGGGTCCAGACCCGGGTGCGTCAAGCACCCAGTGCCCAGCAGTCACAGCCGCAGGCAGCAGGGAGATGTGGCAGAAAGGGTGAGGGAAGTGGCAGTGGAAATGTGTGTGAGCAGGATAGCTACTCACCCTCTCATTTCAGCCACAGTTATCTAACTGCAAGCAATAGAAATCCGCTCTGGGCAACCTAAGCCAGAAAGGAAGATACTGAAGAACCAGAACTCAGGGAGGGAAGAAGGGGGATCGTGGAAGAAGATATTTTGAGGGAGAGATGAATCTTTTCCAAACATTTTCTATCTGCTTGTTTCTTAATCAGGATTTGGGTTCTTTGGGAAGAGGATACGGCTGGCTGGGGCAGAGAAGGTAAGCGGTAGCTTCCCAGCGTCTTCCCAACGTGGGGGAAAGCACGTCCCTCACAGAAAGCCGGGATGCTGGCCCCAGAAAAAGTGGGAAGGATGCACATCTGAGCAAGGAGAGGACAGAGATGTCTCTTCTGTCTCTCTGGGACTGCATCTTTTCGTCTGTAAAATGGGAACAACTGTGGCTATGTTGTGAACTTTTAATGAGATAACACAGGGCACAGTGTGGCTTCTGGGACCTGCCTAATATGTAACAGTCTCCAGATATTTTCTCCAGAGAATGAAGATACTGCCATTACCTCTACAAAGAATGCATCCCAGCACAGATCAAAGATCTTGCAAGTCCAACCATGCCATTTTACAGTTCTGAACCTCAACCTAGAGAAAGCAGTGGATCTTTACACATTTGACACCGCACTTCCCTCTAGGGTGATAAAAAATAAACCCAGTTTTGCATAAGTCCTCTTCTGTAGGCAAGGGCTTTGGTGGAAGTGAACCCCAGAGCCAATCCATTTGAAGCCAAGGTTAATAGGGCTATTACACTAAAGATGTGGTATTAAAGAGCTCCCTCTGGCACCACGTCCTTTCTAATGGATGGCCAATTGCCCACTGAGGAAGATATTGCAGCCGGAGCAATTACATTCCCAAAGCATATCATTTTGTTTTTATTGCCACTGACAAACACATACCTCTTTTCTTTAAAAAAAGAACATGACTCTTGGTCAAAGTTACATTTTGCCCACACATTTTTCAACTTTTGGGATTGCACGTTCACTCTGGCTATGGGCACTAACCGGGCCCCTTCCTGATGGATGGGTTTGGCTGTTTTCTCCATGGTTTCTTGGCTTGAATTTTTGTCAATTTTTGCTTAGTTTTGACATCTTCTTCCCATCAAACCAGATGTTTCTGTTGCTTTGCAATGTCAGTTTTTCTCCATCAAAAGCATGAAATTTGACCAATTATTTACTGATAGAGTTAAGAAAGATGGAGCTGTGGGAAGTTACAAGTTTCAAAATCCATCTCTGGTTAATTTGTTTGAAATAATTGAGTCTATGATATGGCAGATACCAATTATATGACAAACCTTTCAGGGTTTTTTAAAAAAATGTTAAAAATAAAGTGATAACCCTGTCCTTAGTGTATTAATAATTTTGGTTTTCATCCTAAGAACAATGGGAAGACACTAATCTTTGGCAGAGGATAAAGTGACCAGATTTGGGTTTTAACAGATCTCTGTAGCTATTGAAAATGAATTGGGGAAGATGAGTGGGTGTGAGAAGAGGGTAACGGAATCAGATCAAAAGCTGTCATGTCACTATGCGCAGGCGATGAGGCAGCCGGGACCAAGATGATGGTGGGGAGAAGAAAATCACTTGAGAGAATTGATTAAACTAGGTGGTTAGCACAGATAGAGCTGAATCAAAAATTAAGATGGTAAGCTAAATAGTTTTACACACAAAAAGGCAGAGTTGCATTCATAATTAGTCTCTTCTTCAGACTGAATATTACAGCCAAAATACAGTCAGTGGTGTGGCAATCACTTTCTTTGGGCTTGTATCCAAGGTCAAGAATGTCAGCCTCTGAAGGCCCCAGATCTTAATGTTTTTGGATGATAAAGTTTATTTAAGGTAGAATAATTTAGCCTTCTGCAAATTTCATTGTGGAAGAATGAAAAATCCATTGTCCCTCTTCTCTGCCACAGACACACTTGAGTTGAACATTAAGCATTTTATTAAGGAAACATTCTCTTTGTGCTTTTTCTCCCAAGATGGATGGTATTCTAGAGTTCTAAGTGTTAGAATAAAGAATGCCCATGAGGTTGAATTATATGATGTTTTAGTAAAGTCAGGTAAACATTCTTTTTTTTTTTTTTTTTTTTTTTAGACGGAGTTTCGCTCTTGTTACCCAGGCTGGAGTGCAATGGCGCGATCGCGGCTCACCGCAACCTCCCGCCTCCTGGGTTCAGGCAATTCTCCTGCCCCAGCCTCCTGAGTCGCTGGGATTACAGGCACGCGCCACCATGCCCAGCTGATTTTTGTATTTTTAGTAGAGACGGGGTTTCACCATGTTGACCAGGATGGTCTCGATCTCTTGACCTCGTGATCCACCCGCCTCGGCCTCCCAAAGTNAAAAAAAAAAAAAAAAAAAACACTTTCCATAGAGGAATTATGCTTTGGGGACAGAAACTTTCCTTTATAATTTTTACAGCTGCATGCAGATAAAGAATATGAAAAAGGCACAACACATCAATTTCGAAAACATGGCTACACTTTAAGAGAACACAGACTTTCCAGATCCATCTTACATCTCAGGAATTCTAGATCAAGACACGAATGAGTGTTTTTGTTGCTAAAATCCCTCTAATTTCCTTCTTGTTAGACACTTCACCTCAGCAACATTATAAATTAGCACAAAAAAACTGTTTGTAGGTGAAAAACCATTTGGAAAAGGACAGGCTATCTACTCACAAATAAAAGCCAATTCTGGCTCTCCTGAATGAAAAGAAGAGTAACTGGAGGCTATCTGGGGCTTACTAACTTAGTGTTAGGCTGGGGGAAGGGTCCCAGAACCAAGGAGGTCCTGAAGAGGGCCGTGCTGCAGGAACTGCCTGATCTGAGATTCTCCTCGGTCTGAGATGTGCCTCGGTCACTGCTTGCCCGTGTTTACAAGATTCAGAGTCTTCAGGGAAAGTTGAGCCCAAGAGGTAGAGTCTTCTTCCCTGGCTATGTTCCCACCCCAACAAGCCCCACACAATGGAAGATCCCTCAAACGGGGGCAGTCCCAGCATGAGGTGGAGGCCAGGCAGCCTCCGAGTGATCACTGTGGCCCAGGGCTCCTGTCCCCTCTACGGCCACCTCTCAGGTTGTTCTTTACTAGGTTCCTTTTTAAATTTGATAGTTATCCAAAACAGTTATGAATTCAGATCCTGCCAATTTGATATTACAAGAACTCACAATGGGGAAGGAATGGAGTTTAACAGTAATATTGACAAAGAAAAAGAAAGATTTGAATAAATAAAAGGTGTCAATACAATGAAAGATTGTTTAATTACTTAATTAACTGTTTGGGGACCCTGATGAATTTATTGAGTCAAACCACCTAAGTAGATGAGCTACTGCGGCTAAAATTTTGGCTTTCTGTCTCTCTCTCTCTTTTTTTTTTTTTTTTTTTTTTTTACATACAGGGTCTGGCTCTGTCACCCAGGCTGGAGTGCAGTGGCAGGATCATGGCTCACTGCAGCCTCCAAATCTTGGGCTCCAGCAATCCTCTGGTCTCAGCCTCCCAAATAGTCAGGACTACAGGTACATGCCACGATGCCTGGCAATTTTTTTTAATTTTTGTATAGGCAGGGGCTCATTATGTTGCCCCAGCTGGTCCCAAACTTCTGGTATCAAGTTGTCCTTCCACCACAGCCTCCCAAAGTCCCAGGATTACAGGCATAAGCCACTGTGCCTGGCCTTTCTTTAGCTGTTAACATTTAGCCTCTAAGTGGCAGCCTTAAAATGTATTTCTAATCTGCTTGTGAACAATTCAGTTTGATTTTTTTAAGAAAGGAAGAAGAAACCCGACCTTACGCTTATTCAGACCTTACGCTAACTCAAGTTTTCCTTCCTACCAACAAGCCCCTTTTAAGATGGTCCCTTGCATCTTCATCAATGTTTCAGCATGAAAGACTACTTACATCTGCACAACATTTTTCAAAATATTTTCATGGTTATTATCTTACGCAGTTTCTACCACTATAAGGCATTATTTCCATTTTACAGACCAGGACCCCGACACTGTGGTAACTTTCCCCAAGTCAAACCCCAGTAACTACCCAGTGTTGCTATGCTTTTTTTTTTTTTTTATAACCCACCCCTTATTACTGTTCCAGAAGCAAATCCAAAATCTGTAACAATGAAAGAAATCAATGCCAAGCCTATTCACCAACAAGCACTTACTGAGCCCTGCTGTATCGTTATGGACAAAGCTAACCTGCTGTAACAAAGAACCCTAAGTGCCGTGGCGCACGCAAATTAGAAGTTTGTTTGTTTCACCCCATGGTCCAGAGGTCTTGGGCAGTTTGGGGAGGTCAATACAGGAACCCAGGTTTGTTTTAGCTTGTTTTTGCTGCTCTACCATCTTCTACAGCAGTGATTCCCAAGTTTTTTCAGTTCACAGCTCCCCTAGTATCTCAATAATTTTTTCACGGCACCTACAGGTCAAAAGAAATACCCCAGAAAATTCGTTTATGAATTAGGTCCAAAAAAATTTAACAATTACTTATTCCTGAAAACATAGTCACCATTTCAGGAAAAAATAACACAGATTGAAATAAAAATACATTCACTTTATTTTTAAATGATCACAATTTGTGAATAATGGGGCGTATGTGCTTGTTGAGCCCTGAACAATCACTCAGACCTTGGACTCAGATTGGATATCACCATCGTCATTTTCTATTTTGCATAGATTTTTTTTTAAATCATAGCAACCGTCTGAAACTCAGATACTGTGCAAAGCCACTAGTCTTGTGGTTTTGCACAGTATCTGCCAGATGTCAGTGAGCTTCCTTCAAAAATCTCAACTATCTGGCAGTGTTCCTGTGTGTTCACTGAGGCACCTCAGAGAGCCTCAGCACACAATTTGAGAACCACAGGGATACAAGTCACCATGCTATGCCTAGACATGGCTCTTCTGGAGGAGCAGTGCCTTCTGACCTCCCTGGCAGCCACTTCCTCTGTCCTTCCCAGGCTCCTGTATCATGGCAGGAAGACCAAGCGCTGGTGATTTGACCAGCAATTTCCCAGCCACCATTCCTCAGCCAGGAGGAACCAAGCTTCCCCGTCCAGTTTGCCTTACTCTAGTGAGAAGCCCGAAGCAAATCCCAACCCATTTAAAAAGTAAATGCAATGATTTGTAGACTCCTGCGTGTATTCTGAAACTACCTACATTCCTCTCATCCTGTGCTCAGGGGCATATGACATAGATAAGACTGAAAACTGGATTGAATTGTGGGGAACGAACGAGTTTTCCCAGCTCCCAAGCATGTTCCCTCTGAATACCAGAAACTATGTGTAAGTCTTAAACGGCAGGAGGTGGAGGGGAATCTATTCGAACTAGAGTCACACGTTATGAAGACATCCCAGGCTCCTCCTGGGAAGATCTGAACCATCAGGCATTTCAAGAACTGCTTGTTGGTGAGGCGGCGTTCAGGCAACTCAGAGTGGTGAGTGCCACACACAGCCTCCACGCAGATGGGTGAGAAGTCTGTCTTTGACTAGGACTGAATTTGGTTCCACTTCAAACCCATATTCTACTGGATGGTAGAAACAAAATCTCAGGCAGTTTAGGCTTTTCCATGATGTCACACAGAGCAATATGAAATCGCTGCTATATGATCATTTCTAAGCTATAAAAACAGCAACTATATATGGCCTAGATGACAACTGATCTCCATCACTCCCAGGGTTTGTGACAGTCATGATCCCAGGGGCCACCTAGTTTCTGTCACCACCCACTCTGTTGCGCCTCTGAGACGTCCTCCCTGTCCTGTGCTCTCCATCATTCGTCCATGAAGACCTTCTCTGCCCTAGCCCCACCAGCAAGGGCTCCCTGAGGCTGGAGTGAATCTTCGCAGCAATTCCCACATACCCCTGGGGCGCTGTTGTGAAAGGTCTGTGCCAGGAATGAGGTACAGTCCCCTTTCTCAGTGACATTTACCAACAGCCAAACTCTCATGGTCCCTACGTCTCTCTTCTCTCCCGCTGTCTAGAATGAGAAGAACCAGCTCTTGCAACTTCATTTACTCTTCCAAGTCAATTGCTTCTGGCATCATCTTAGTGCCCGAACTCCTTGAAGGCTCAGCATTTAAAGCTCCTGCATCTCAAAAGCTTTGGTGAGAGAACAGAAAACATGAACTTCTCTTTGCATGCCTCAGCATCTCTCCTTTTAGACGGTGGATACCTCCCAGCAGAGTTCCAATGGGAGAAAGCCCTCGGGGTGAAAATCGTGGGGAACTCAGGACTCGCACATCACCTTGCTGCGCAGCGGGTGCCTGGTGCCTCTCATGCCTGGCCAGGTCTTGTCCGGGTGTGTGGGACGCACCTGACGGGGAGCCGGGAGACTGACTGAGGGACAGTCCTGACCTCACATTTCCAAGCCGTGCAACCCTGGGCAAGCCACTGACCTCCCTTCAAACATCAGTTTCCTCGGGCCCTCAGAGTTAGAAAACATACTGGCAGCAAACCTAAGGCTCATCCTGGTGTGGTCAGATACAGTCAAGCAGAGAGAGAAACACCTTCCAGAGTCAATGAAAATGTAACTACCTTCCATTGCATTAGGAGTAGCAAGACGGGATGGCTTTGTAAAAGCTTAGAGAAGCTATCTGTGTATATACTTTATTCCCTTTCATAGACCCCTTCTGGCTGACCAGATGAAAAAAGATACAAAATTCATTTCTGGCCCAGCTCCTGCCTGATCAGATGTAAGGTGTGGTGATACGCCCATTTTCCCACTCAGCTGTATTCCTGTTTGTTCCTGTGAACACATGGTCCCTGCAATTGGCAATGATTTTTTCTTTGTTATATTTGCCTTCCTTTCAGGGGCCAGTCCAGACTCCTGGGTGGATTCATTTCCCATTGAATTACCAGGAAAGGGCAGAATCTGATTGGAAGAGCTACGTGGACGAAAGCTCAGTTCCCAGGCCCTCACACAAGGGACTCTGTCCTCCCATCTATGTCAGAGCCTGGGGGCTGAGAGGGAATTGAAACGGGACATCCTGTCCCCTCCACCGACATTCTTTCTCCACCAAGCAGTGACATTTTCTTTTGTGTTCTCACACAATTCAGACTAGGTGGAGCAGCCTGTGTGGCAGG